AAGTCCCAGGTCGGGGCCCTAGCAGCCTTAGCATCGGGCAGGACGGCAGGGCAGGACTGCACCGTCAGAGCCACTCCCCAATCATGCTTGGCGGAGCTTCGCCGAGGCTTGGGCGGGGAAAGTGCGCATCAAGGACTGCTGTGCCGTTCTCCGGGCAGAGTCCGACGTGCTTAGCTGCACTGTGGTTCCCGTGCCAGGAGCTCGCGTCTCAGCTGACGACCAACAGCGGCACCACCCGTCTAGAACTTCGTGGGCAGCAGATCACAGCGGAGAAATGCCAGGCGCGGTGCGCACAGGGACATTGCACCCTTAGACCGGTATGCTCGCAGTTGACGATCAGCCGTACATTCACCAGAAACGAGTATTAACGTCTTTGTGGCTTGAGTCCCGTCGCGAGGCTCTCGCAAACGTTCCAAATGTTCTGACCATTTCGGATGTACAAATTTTCAATCACCTACCTCAACTTCGGTAGAAACCAAGCCGGAGACAATGAGCCCGGCCCCGGCGTTTGTGCTGGGAGGCACTCGCAGATGCGCTGAAGTCCAACTGGACGGTCACCCACGTCTTTGCAATTTCGACCCTGCGGTTCCCCTGAGAGGCACTCGCAGATGCCCTGAACTCCAATCGCACCGTCATCCGCGTCGACCTCGAGCACAACTACATCGGAGACCAGGGTGCCAAGGCCGGGCGGTTCCCACGGGGTCTTCGCTGCTTGCAATTTCGACCCCGCCTTTCCCTGAGAGGCACTTGCAGATGCCTTGCAGTCGAACTGTACGGTCACCGACATCAACCTCGGACGCAACGAGATCGGAGCCGAGGGCGCCAAGGCCAGGCAAACCCCAAAGAGTCTTTGCAGCCTGCAATTTCGACCCCGGCTTTTTTCTAAGAGGCGCTCGCAGATGCCTTCAAGTCCAACTGTACGGTCACCCACGTCAACCTCGAGGGCAACTACATCGGAGACCAGGGTGCTAAGGCCAGGCGGTGCCCACGGGGTCTTCGCAGCCTGCAATTTCGACCCCGCGCTTCCCGTGGGAGGCACTCGCAGATGCCTTAAAGTCCAACCGTACGGTCACCCACATCGACCTCGATAACAACGAGATCGGAGACGAGGGTTCCAAGGCCAGGCGGTGCCCACAGGGTTTTCGCAGCCTGCAATTTCGTCCACCGCTTTCCTGTGAGAGGCACTCGGAGATGTTGGTGTCGTCGTGAAGCGTTTTTGAGGCCAGCACTTTGGTGCATCAGTCGATGCTGCGGAGCACAGGGAGTAACACAAAAGAACAGGCTCGTGTGTTTTCCTTACTCCGTTCAGCCATGCACCAATACTCGTAGCGGCCTGGCGCTGAATCTAGTCGTAGCATCATAATATCATACTGACTAGTACAAGTATATCAGTGTATCAGTATATGTACTGATGCAGTACCCAGAAGCCGGAGACCAACACTGAACCCTGCACTGTCAATTTCTTTAACGGCTGTCGAAGTATTCAGGTCCCGATCTTATCTTGGGGCAAGGCCCACGCCCCGAGGTCTTTCCCATGCAAGGTTTCTCCCTGGGCCCCAAGAAGTTTCACGCCAGAAGCTCTGGAAAGTCAGTCCCGTTGACAATCCGATTGCAGCTTCCGCTGAGAGACTATACGGCCAAAAATCTCAACACCACCGGCTTCCGCATCGCTCTCGCCTTGTAAACTTAACCCTAAAAGCCCTTTTACGCCAGCTCCGCCAAATCGCGACGTTCCTGGCGAGTCATTTCTGCAGCATAGCGGCTTCTCAAGACAACGCGGTCTAGTGCGAGGCGGAAGCGAGAAAGGGACTGAAATTGCCCGCTCAATGTAGGAGACTATAGATACCATGTGCGGGGTGGCTCTTGTACGGTATGATATTGTGATATACCTCTCGAGGTTTAGGTCGGGGTTGAGGGTAGATCTCGAGCTCCCAGTTTCACTCGCAGCCCGTCACAGCCAGACCAGAAGTACCAGGATGCGGCCGCCCCAGTGTGGCAGATGCGTTTTGGGGTCTTTCAAACCCAGCAAAACTCACGATATTTCCCTAGACCGTCAACCTGCCGACTCTTGGCAGCAACCTTTGCTTCGTAATTCACTTTGCGCATTGAGTCATGCGACGGCCGTGCCACCCAAAAGAGCTCATCAATGTGCATGCAGGGTTGAGGGTTTCGGGCTTTGTATGATACTCCTAAACCCGAACTACGTAGACCCTAAACTTTAATCTTTATGCCCGATCGGCCTATAAATCCTGATTAAGCCCTAAGCCGGTACCCCTTACAAAGAGCGCTGAGAATGCCAGAAACCCGGAGCTCCCCCCACCTGCAGCCCTGACGGGAAGAGTTCGGCCTTTGGGGCTTCCGGGCCCTTGGGGGTTTAGGGGGCTCAGGGTTGAAGAGGCTTAGGGTTGGGGCCCTTGGGGTTAGGGGGGCACAAGGGCTCTTAGGGGTTAGGGGCCTTTTTCCGCATGGAGGGTTTTTTGGGGCTTGACTTCAGGCAACTGGGGCGTTGGAGTTCAGATTTAAGGCTTTGGGTCAGGATTTTGGGCAGTCGGGTTTCAGGGAAACAAAGCATGTGCTGTCCCTCAAAAATCTTACCACTGGCTCCTAGAGCCATGAGCCCCGTGCTTTCATCAATGCCCAACTTTCCCAACACTCCGCCGGCTCAAAAGCTCTGAGTAAGAAAGTATCGGTGCTGTGCTCTGAGCGCTTCCCACTCTTCGCTGCGACACGAAGCCATGGCCCGGCAGCTGGAACAGGCCACCTCTCCGTAGAGTTGGGGTTTGGGGTTTAGGGTTTCGGGTTCAGGGTTCAAAGTTTAGGTTGGTGTTTAGACTTTCGATTTTGCTTTAGGTTTGGGGTTTACTTCGGTTTTGGGCTTTAGGGACCGTGCCCTTCTTGGGATAGTTTTCGCTCCGGAGCGCCCAACCTTTTTGATCAAGCGGCTTTGTTCCCGGCTCCCTGCTACAATCATTGTTTAAACACCCCAGACCCTTCTTTACTGCATTAATGCCCCCCCTCACCCGACCCCATCGGTTGACAAACATCCCTTATAACGGAACAACAGCATCACAACCTCCGTAGCAGGGCTTAGGGGGTTTATTCACACTTAGGGCTCCAGAATAGCATTTATCAATGCATGCACCGCATGGAAGTTGTTCAGCACATCGTTTCCAGCAAAAAGGCAGAAGGTAGGCTCCCTTTTTGAGTGAGGATCTCCTGACAAGGACGTGTATTCCCAATGGTCCCTCCATCCCTGAAGCGTTCCGGAATGCCTTACAGGCGCTTTCACGGTTGCAACACACCCCCAGACCAACACAGGAGATCTATGACATGGAGTCAATGTCGGAGACGCACACCATGCAGGGTTCAGAAGTCCAAGTGTAGACGCAAGCCCTTGGGCTCGAAAGCTAAACTCCACGGAGGCATAAATCCGAAGGCTAACTCCTTACATCCCGAGCCCGAAATGCCAAGGACCCACTGGTGTCGCGACTTAGGGCTTTGAGGGTTCGCGTTTTCGGGTCGTTACGTTAAGGTTGAGACTTCGTCCGTCCTTGTGTGTTCGAGTGTGTTTCTGTCTTTGCCTTCAAACCCCCGGGCCCTAAACCTCCTCCGGCCCTGAGCAAGGCCGTTCTTGAAAAGATGCTGCTTGATTTTTTTTTATGGTTTCACTTGGCTTTCTGGCTGGGTATATACTAGTTTTTGGAGAGAACGGCATGCATACTTAAAGGATGATGGGACTCAGGTAGGTATGAGCAGTTTGTAGCCCGAATCGGAGTACTTAAAAATCGTACGTTTAACTACCAAGTACAATCTTCTCATAGATGCTACAGAACTCAAACGCCTTGGAGCAACTAGCGCTTCTAAACTTGATAGAATCTTATGGAGCACCGGCTCTGAACCTGAAGCCCACTTCCAGGACTTCCCTTGTGTGCTTTCGGGTTTCGGGGGTTTGGGGTTCAGAGGTTTAGGGTTTTTTTGTTTGGGGTTCAGCGGTTTGGGGGTTTCGGGGGTTTAGGCCCCCAAGAGCCCCCCATGAATAAACTTCCCAAGCCATGATGCTAAGTTGACTGCCCGAGATTCAGCAGAGCTCGGTCTTCTCCTTCGGCACACGCGAAGCCCCCCAAAAACTTAAATCCAACCGTCTTCAATCAAAGCGAAGCTCTGAGGCAAAGCAGATGGTCGAGGACCGACTGGGGTCCAGGTTGTCCTGTCTAGTGCCTATACCCAAGGGGTCTGAAGAATCATAAACACTGTCCCCCCTCATAGTCCCAAACATGTCGCATTTCGGGTTTCGAGTTATCGGGTTCGGGTGTGTAGGGCTCAGGGGTTTGCCTTCAGAGCAGTCTGAGCCCCGGCCTTGGGCTTTTTGGGGGGTTCATGCATCTGGTGCCCCAAAAAACTTCGTACGGCCCGGTTTCGTGTCCTCCAGCCCAAGCCCCCCAAAATTCGACTTTAGGGCTCAGGGCGCCGAAAACCCCCACAATTCCTTCAAGCACATGGGTTTAGGGTTTAGGGTTTAGGGTGGTGTACACGCCCAGTCCGACAGTTGCAGGGTTCACGGTGAGAGGCCCCCGTAATAACAACAGACCCGGTCGGGTATAGGGTAGCAATTCTATAAGGATTCCGACTGCAGCCGTAGGCCCCTGCCTTCTTCTGAAGAAAGGGTTTGGTAGGCCAGGCTCGTGACTGAGGGTTGCCAATTGAGGATTAACATCACAGCCTCAACAAAGGCACGTAGCCCCGAAGCATCCGACACGGCCCAAAGCCCGAAGCTCTAACCCTGAAGACCCTAAGCCCTATAAACCTTACACCCTGGCCGGGCCGGGGCTCTGTTTTTTTGTTTTTTTGATGCGGTTTTCGACCGTGGGTTAGGGTCTAAGGTCTGGGGTTTTGGGAGTTGGGGGTTTATCTGAGCGGTTTTTTCAGGGCATTCGGATGTTGGGTTTGGGATTGTGAGGGGGGGTGAGGGGTTTGGGTTGTGAGTTTGGGGCTTCGCGCATACCCCGTCTGACATGTTTTAGGCTTATGGGTTTAGGTTTTCAGCTTGGGGTGCTGGCATAGTACGGTTTGCACAGAGAGCTCAATGCCCATCCATTGAGGTAAAATTCTGAAGCGACATAGGCTTCTTACAAAGACTTGCGGCCTGCGATTTTTTCATTTTAGGGTTCCAGGGTGAGACGCGACCGCCAAATGCCTCACTCACTCACTTCTTCTTGGCAGGACGGTGCTGTTTGGCCTGGGCTTGCTGGGCTGTTGGCGCGGCAGTGGGGCCCAGGAACTGCGGGGGTTTTGGGGCTCCTTTCCGGGTTCTGCCAGGGGTGCAAGGGGTATGTGACGGTTTTATTATGATGGATTTCCCAGAGATTCTTCAGAGTTTGAGGTCCAGGACTTAAAACCGCTGCTGCAGCTGCTCGCTCTGCCGCTAGTGGGTTAGTCTGGAGGAAATACCAATTTGAGGTTCTTGTAGGAACCCTTGAACCTTAGGTTTCGTTTTGAAGCGGCAGTTTGTTGTAGGGTTTACAAGGGTTTACTGTTCCTAAACGCATAAACCCTAAATCCTAAACCCTAGACCGTGGGTTTATGCCCTAGACCCAACCTGAACCTTACCAGGATAATTCCGAAACCCCTACCCTCAGAGTTACGGGGATGCGTGCTAACCCAGGAGTCGATGGCTGGAGCATTAAGACACTGAGGAGTACTACAATTGCCTCGCGGCTGATGGATTGGGGGGTCTTTGGGGGTGTCGGGGGGCTCGCTGAAAGGTATCTATTCAAAGCGATGGTGCTGAGGGGGTATCAGAACCCAACCCTGAGACCTGTAATTCCAGGGCCTTGCATATTAGAACAGGGTTTGGGGCTATGCTGTACTATACTTGGAATTGCGATGTAAGGGAATTTAGGATTGTGACTACTTGTTCCGACCCTTGCAGTATCCCTCACAGCCCAAATGCTGACCCTGCGGTCGCCCAGCCC